GGAGAGCAGGGACTGCCCCGGGAAAGGGGGCCGCTGGCGAAGTTAACCACCCTGTAACAACATACATACAATGAGAACGATCACGGCGAGCCCGTACCGAGTGCCTGTCCAGGCTGTACGGCACTCCGGTACAGACACCCATAGACGATCCTAGCCGCAGATGCAGCGGTTCCGTCCGGGGAGTGCGCACTAATGTCATCCCCAATCGACGTCGCCAGGAGTTTCTGAATGCCGCGAGATGTTATTCTCGAGCGGCCCTGCTGATACGAGGTCTCGCCTGCCCTGTCGCCCCGTACCTCCTTCTCCGAACCTATGCTTGGGTATGCATTGTCTGTACGTCCTGCCTTCCAGATGTCCCTCAAGGTCCTACGGCCGTCAGTTTAACGAGTGCTATGATGTGGCAGCGTTTGGTTGTGGGTCACAACAGGTTCGGAGTTGCAGCCGTACTGCGTCCCTGCAAGTTGAGGGGGACCCTCACGGGGTACCAGCTTGTGCTCCCCCCTATCCAGCCCTTGACCGAGTCACACAAATCAGACTGCCGAGCTACACTACAGCGCACCTCCTTGACCGAGAATATCCGATCGGGGCATCACCAATGTCGCGACTGCGATCTTTGCGGCCGGACCCCGAGCTGAAGGGGGCTCTGAAGATCAGCTACCGGTCACCACCAACGACATGGGGCGGATCTCGGACGCGAATGCGGTGGGCAAGGGTCGGGGCCATCCCAACCACAAGGCACTTGCGCTGGTGCTTGTCGAAGGACCTTTGCCCGACAGTACTCTACGTGAGTATGCAGCAGCGCAAGTTTGCAATCTACTCTTGGAGGTCCAGCGGCCTTGCGCACGAAACAAGTATAGGCTACCCGGAACCTGCTGCAGAGTTTAAGGATTCATTCGTTATATGTAGGGCTTATAGACGTATAATAGATGTATAAAAACACACACACAGTCACACACAGTCAAACATAGTCAGACATAGTCACACACAGTCACACACAGTCACGCACAGAGATAGGCGAGACGGACTGTGGCTTCTACTTCTGTTGGACATCCACGTTAGTCAGTTAGTATGTGGACTTGGTGTCCCAAATGTTATCATTCCCTTTTGGGGGAACAAAAGGGTTGGTTCCTAAAAGGGGACAACCCCAAGGGTGTGAGCATACATGCATGTCCCAGGATAGCCATTTGCCAGATTGCCATCCGCCAGCCTGCTGGCTTGTCATATCCTAGTTTCGCTGCTGTGCGGCTTATGGACTCCACAGCAGCAGATCTCTAGAGCGGCCATGCCATCATCTAGCGGCTCTTCCAGCAGTTGCTTCCTTTGCTGTTGAATAAATGGCAGCTGTAGTAACTGCTTACATTATTATTATTAAGGCGATCCGCCCAGACAGTCCCGTCTTTCTGCGACTGCCGTTCGCCTTATCCGACGTTTTTTTTTTGACGTTTGTGTGTTACAAGCTTCGAGCTTGTACGGTCCAAACGAGCCAAGAGGCTCATGAACCGCCGAACTGGAAACAAGAACATATAAAGGTAGTAAATTAACCTTACTGTAAAAACATATTTAATCATCAATAAATTGTAACCTGCATCTTCTGATATGATCCAAAACATGTGCTAGTCCGCGTTGGTTCTCAACGCCCATAACGTCTATCATGCGGTCCTCAGGAGACACTCCAAGCTCAAATAGCTTGGTGCGAATATCCGCGTACGCAGGGCACTCAAGCAAAACATGACGCTCGTCCTCAACTGCTTGACGGTTCCCACATACACGACACCACCGCGCTGCCCTTTCCCTGCCATGAGGACGATTCACTGCAAGCGGCCACACACACATCCTGAAACGCATCAGCGTGACATGTTGCTTCGGCGAAATATATCCAGTGCAGTGCTTAGGCAACCCCATCCACTGCTTGTACCGGCACATCTTCACCCCTGGTTGTTTGTTGTCGGAAACAAATGTCCTAGGATCCATTTCTAGTCGCTCACTCTCCCAATCGTCATCAAATCGACTGCGTAACTCCTGCATCAACTGGCCTATATCCAACGAACATGACGTGAGCGCATCAACTCTAGCCTCAACATCCTCATCACCCGCCATGTCATGACCAAGAATCTCGAGTATCTTCAGAACCTTCGAACCCCAACCATCGTACGCCATGGATGAAATTAAAGCCAAACGTATCTCCTCTCTGAAGCAATGATGGTACACGGTGCCCTTCGCCTTAACCAGCTTATTCCAGAAACGGAGTATCAGATTCGCCCAGTGAACTTGCAAGGGATATTGCCCAAACTCCCTAAACAACAGTCGATTCGTGGGAAGCCCAGCACCACCTAGTTGTTTTAGGAAGGTCTTCTGCAATTCGACCATCCTGTCTTGTAGCGAGTTATCGAAGTAACACGAGCGCGGTTCCTGGTTACGAGGATATCCTCTTTCCAACACATCTAGAACCTTGGTCGGACCCCACACCTGCACTCCGTACGACAAAATAGATAGTACTTGTGCGTCAAACGCCTTCACCGAAACAGCTGGGACAAACAATCCCTGCCTCTTAAGCTTGGTAGTCAACGAGGAAAGCGCCCTTTGCCCTGACGCAAATAGTTCGTCTGTGCATGTTTCAAACGGCACACCTGGCCCGTAGTGTAGGCCCAAATATCGTGCGCGTTCCTTCCATGGTAATGACCGAACCACGTGCCCAGCGCTCTCTTTAACGCTCATGGTGACCAGCCCGTACGAACCCAGGGTATACATGGCCTTGCGAGCGCTCTGATCCCCATGAAAAAACATGACCTCACACTTTCCCACATTAACCTTCATGCCAAAAGCTCCACACCATTCCTCCAGCGCACGAAGCAGCGCCATCAACCGCCTGTGTGACCCTGCGAAAAGACTAAGATCATCTGCATATAACATCAATGGAATACGCATGCCATCGCTCAGAGGACAATCGTGGGCCGCCATGGCATCGGGTGCAAGTCGATCCTTAGCCTCCACGTAGTCTGCGAACCCTTCCCCAAAAATGCCGTACAAAGTTGGACTTAACGGGCATCCCTGTTTAACCCCCTGTAACGAAAAGAACGAGTCCCCCAGAACACCATTTATATTTACTCTGAGTTCTACCCTCCGGTAGCAAGCCTTTAACGCCTCCAAAGTGGCACCCGTCACTCCTCTCTCCTCTAACCGCATCCAAAGTAATTCCCTAGGGACCTTATCAAACGCCTTCTCGAAATCCACTTGACACACGAAAAGCGGTTTCCCAGACGACTTCCTTGACCTGTCCGTCAAATGTCGAAGAACGAACAGATTATGACATGTGCCGCGATTACTGCGAAAACCTCCTTGGAAAGGGGAGCGTGCCCCAGAAGCCTCTCCCCAAGCATTGATCCTCCGCTCAAGGAGCATAGCATAAAGCTTGGATAGAGCCCCTCCAACTGCCAAACCCCTGTAGTTACCCATGTCATGAACATCCCCCTTCTTGTGAATGGGTGTCAACGAAGAAACCTCGAACTGCCGAGGATAGTCCCCTGTACTCCGAATATGCTCCATTAGCTCCAACAGGTAGGGTGCCAGAACAAGTTGCGGTTTGTCATCAACCATACGCTGCGCATATTAAATGCTTCAGCCGGTACACCATCAACCCCCCCCGACTTCCTATTACGCACTGCTTGCATCGCAGACGTGACCTCTGGGAGAGTAAAGGGTGCATCCATGGCCGCTGCTGCCACCAGGCGAGCACCCCTTCGCTCATTCCCGTGCAACCAGCCCCGTCCCTCTCCTCGTACCGCGCCATTTATGAAACTCAAGATGATGTCCGCATTAACTTCACTGCAGGCGTTCGCAGACCCATTATACAGAGCATCGAAGTACTCCTTCCAGCTTGAAACGTCGCTGATAGGACAGTCAGCCTTAGCCTTGCCATTAATGCGCTTCCACAGTGCCCGCGGGTCTCCACAGCATTCCTTCAAGAAGGCTTCATACCGCTTAACTTTATATGCATCCATGGTTTCCCGCCGTACTCGTTGATACCGCGTGCGCAACCTACTAAACTCGCTACGCTCCGCGGGATGGTCCAACAGGTCGTTTGCTCGCATGAAGGCTTTTTGTGCAAACATCGCAGTACGCGCTGCAGCACACTCCTCTGTCCACCAAGGGGCATCCGAGCTACTCTTACCAGTCTTAGAAATGCGTCCATCAGTCCGTCCCATCTGCTTAATAGCACCCGACACGGCCTTCAGGATAGCCTCTACCACTTGCGTACTAGTGCGCTCCTTACCAAGCTGGGAAGTAGCCTCTGCAATCTTCTGGACCAATGCCGAATCATCCGTTTCAAAAAAACGTGCATACTGCTCCATCTTATTCATATCAAACCTGAGCCCTACCGAAGCCTTGCGTGCCTGTTGCTGCGATACCCCGCTGTTAAGATCCAAAACAACCGGGTGATGATCGCTCAGAAGCCGTCCAACTCCCGGACCAAAATCTGCTACTGGAATACCCAGAACCCGAAGCCCAATGCAGTGCGTGAACAACCGTGCCGATGCAAAAAAGATATCTATCAAACTCCCCGACTCCCGCACTCTGTGCTGAAAGGTCAAGCTGCCATCTGTGTCGCCCGCAACTCGCCCATTGAGAACAATCATCTCCATTTCTCGACACATAGCAACAAAAGCCTTCCCAAATTGGTTAGTACCTGAATCCTGTGATCGCCTATCCGGTATGCCCCTGAACAGCTCAGCATTGCTGACCTGAAAGCCCAACATCTCTTCCTCGTCATCCTCCTTCTGAAGGTCTGGTGTTTCCCTCATCCGTCCTACCCTGGCATTCATGTCACCCATGAGCATAACCTCATCACCTGGTTGAGCGAAGTGCTTAATCAAGGTCTGAAGCCGGCATGTCACACCCTTATCCCATGCATTCTGTAATGAGTAGAGTAAGGATGAGATACGAATAAAGAGAAGCGGAAACGATTATACGAGTTTAGTGGCTAGTTGGTTCTTGACAACCAAATGTCCGCCTACACGGAACTAACCAAAGTAAGGATATACTCTTGTTGGAGTACGATGTACGATAGTACGGCAGGAGTTGTTCCGCCTATGCGTTACAAGTAATAGTAATAAGAATATGTTAGTCATTACCGTATTTAATGGAATGCTCATAACACATTCCCCCCTGATGCCTTGGCGTACAGAAAATTTCATTCACGATCGTTTCAACGACACGTCCCTACACACACATATATATACATATATGTGTGTATAACAAACACGGATGGGCGCAGAAATACCAAGTAATTCCGTCCATGGCACCCCCGCACGTGTGTGCAGAAATTGTAAAAACTTGTAACTTGTAACTCGTAACTTGTAACTCGTAACCCGTAACTCGTAACTCGTAATAACAACAAATCTTATGTAGGCGCAGGCGCGGCCCAGACATCGCAGGGTGCCCGGCAAGGGCCGCACCTCGACGCAGGGCAGCCGCTGCTGTCGCAAGTACGACTACTACGGGGACGCACGCAACAGCACACAGAAGAAGCAATGCTACAGAAGCAAGGCTACCAGCAATCCCTGCTATATCAGCACCAGCAGCCGCAACCACACCAGCAGCAGCACATCCACCACCAACAACGACAACAATAACAGCAGGGGCAGCAGAAGCAGCAGCTACTGCAGCTGCAGCAACAGACTCAGCAGGAGGCGGACCTGCTGCTGCTGCAACAACAGCCGCCAAAGCAGCAGATGGCGCGTGAGCGGTTTTTGTACCAACAGGACGTGCAGCTTCCATTGCTACGTTATCAACAGCAGCAGCACCCGCAGCTGACCATCCTGTTGCTGACCACTTTCAAAGATATCGGCCGGGCGTTAATGAGCATCACCTCCGTGAAGACGCACTTGGCTCCCGAGCTGATTCACGAGGGGATACTGCTGACACCCTGGACGGTAAGGTGGGTGGGTGGAGGGAGCGAGATGAAGATGAGCAGCTAGTGCTGCAGGAGCATCTTGCCTTTCTGTCCCCCCACAGAAGACACTCCCCCTCAGCGCCGAACCGTACGGCATACTCGTACGCCACCAGTATAAGTAATTTCTTCACCTATCGCAGGAGTATCTTTCGTTGCGTCGCACGGTTTCCCCGAACATGGGCGGTCGGCCCTGCGACCCGGCATGCTACACCGGCAGCAGTAGCAAGGTCACGCAGGCGCTACAGGCCGCCGGGCTGCTGCTCACACCGCCTGATGCAGCTAGGTCAACCAGCGCCAACAGCAGCACCGGCAGCAGCACCAGCAGTAGCAGCAGTGGCGGCAGCAGCAGCGGTACGGCCTCCCTGCAGGACTACTGCGACAGCTGCGGCCCTCCACTGTAGGTGGTTCCGGAGCATCTGGCGCTGGGGGTGGAGAGGCAGCAGATGTCGCAGATGCAAATTCACGGCTACAGGCTACAGGTAATATACTGGTGGATATTCGCACGCTGCGCAAATAAAGCCTCTCTCCCCCTCAAGCAGCTCTTTCTCGTCTGCCTTTCCCTCCTTTATGCTATTATTCGCAGATGGTTTTGAAGCTCACCGTCAGCTCCCTTATCAGCACCCGCCATTACTTGGTCCTGGTACGTGCCGTTAGTGGGGTGGGGTGTGTATACCTGTCATGTACGGCATGTATGTGGATGTGAGGGGAGGCAGGCGCGTAGGTAGGCAGCATGTGAGCGGCTGCAGCTCGGCACTAGCTCACCGCCTCTCCTCAACGCGCCCTGCCCCTCCGCCCCCTCCATTTACAGGACAGCGACGTGCTCATGGTTCGCCACGTGGGCCCGCAACAGGCGCACTGGCTGTTCCCGGAGCCAGGGAAGGCCCTATACCAGCCGCAACGACGTAAAGTACATCACCGTTGGTGGAACACTACGGAGGCAATCCTGGGCCTGGGGGGCTGCTTATCTGCTGACCCAGATAGGAGTGTCTTCGGTGTCACCCCCGCCCTCCTCGCCACCGATATTTCTGCCAGTGCGGCCCGTTACTGGGACGAGCACCTGGGTGGCGGCTCCAGACTGCGAGCCCTAGGGGAGCTCCTTCCCAGACGGCGGCCCTTCCTCACCGAGTACTGCTCCTACCACCTGGTGGCGGAGTGCGTCATGGGTAACGGCACGCTGAACGAGTACCATGCACTGCCGCGACACCGCCGCCTTCTTCACACTGCTGGCGGCGGCGGCAATGGCGGTGATGACATGGCCCCACCGGGGGTGCTGTACCGTGGATTGTGGCAGAGCAGATCGTGGTTAAAGTCCGGGGGTCGCGCGACGGTGTGCAAGGACTGTGTTTTCTTGGTAGTGCAGAGCGACACGAGGGTGCCCGAGGGTAAGGTGGTTGGGCACCTTGAGGAGGTGTTTTTGTGAGGAGGGATTTATAAGGGGGAAGAAAGAGGACCTTGGTTGCAACGGAAAGGAAGGCGGGATGATAACCATTTCCCGCCTCGGCGTTTCTCTTATGGCCGGCGCCTGGGTGTCCTCAACAGCTGGTCCTGAGCATGCAGGTACTCTTGCAGGATGCAATAACGAGAACGGCTGCTGCGGCCGGACAGACGGGATAGTATGGCGTGATGCATCACCGACAGAGAGGCGCAGATGGCAGACCCCACTGATAGGGAGCTGGGCATCCCAGCAGAAACCCTGGACTCCGCTGACGATGGCTATGTAGCACAGTGTGCTCCTGGCCTTGCTGACCAGCCTGGGCCATCTGCTGGTTTTGCCGACCATGCGGATGAAGCTGTGCAGGATGAAGCTGCGGGGGACCTCGGTGCCGGAAACTTACCAGGTGTTTGCAACTGGGGTGTCCAGTGCAGGCAGTCCATGGAGGTGAAGGTGGTGACAGAGGAATGTTGCCCATACATTGCTTGCTGGACATACAGGCTGTTGACCCAAACATACACCATTACACAGGTTAGGCACTAATGGTACCGCACACACCGATGCCCCCGGGAGATTCCGGGATCGTGACCTGTCAGGATCGAAATTCCTTCCGATGGTGGAAGGTAAAGTGCTTGACAACTGACTGACGAGCCGACCATAAATGGAGTTGGGTCGCCGTTGATCCGACAGATTCCGATTGATGCTAGTGGTGGGTGCGGAACCAGAGCGATCTACTGAGAAGTTGATAAGGGTGACTAGATGAGGGTGCCACGAATTACTGGGGATGGCAGGGTTTCGCCGGGTAGCGGCCACGGGTGAATATGCGACCACGGGTGAATATGCCCCCATGTCCCACACATCATACACCAGCCCCATCCATAGCTTAACTTATGGTCCGCATGTACTCCTGAATGTCATGTCACGCTACTTGCCTGTCTTGGCACTATCTGTGTGACCCCGGGGTCGCACATGCTGGTGGGCCCACCAACATGGTGTGGCTTCATGAGCGCATTGTTTTGGGCTGCCTCTTCGACATACAGGAGAGAGAGGATGGCAGTGATTTTAGGGGACCAGATGATGATGATGATGACAGCCCAGTGGACATTCTGCACTTCGTGGCCCAATATGCGGCCTGGGAGGCGGAGCAGGACCCTGCTGCGCAAAATGGCACTATGGAAGGCACTGCTGCTGGCTCACCAGGCAGTGATGAGAATGATGAAGTCCGGATCCAAACTTGTGTATGTGGGTGTGACCTGCCTTACTTCCGCCCACACACATATGAGTACTTCAAGGTCCATCTCAACAACTGGTCCAATATGAATGAGGGGTTTTCGGGGCAGGGGAGTTGAAAGTAAGGTTGAGCCGATCAGCGGTCGGACCATATGGGAGGGCCACCAAGCCGATCAGCAGGGCGGTGCAGGGAAGCAAGCTGTAGTGAGTAGTGGCTTTAACGGCGTTAAGGGGGTCCAGCTGACGGCGTACTATGCGAATGCTGATGAGAGCGACCATCATTTCATGGCCGCACATCTTTGAATTGAATTGAATTGGTACAGAGTGGGAGGCTTCTGGGCCACTTGAACACATCTGCATTTTTTCCGCACCTGAGCAAAACTTTAGCGGCGGTATGCGTTAAGTTACGTGTTGATGAAATACAAAAGTAGCTGTGAGAAGAGAAAGGTCAGGGAAAGGTGACGGCCATTTGAACTGCGCGAAGACGGATGGCGTAAGCAGCTAACCGAGCTTAGTAACACGTGTTTCAATTAAATATTGCCGTACTACCGTACTACAATTGAGAAGTAGTTTGACGATAGGTACGAATCCACATCACAAGGTTTCAGTTCTTATTCTTGGCGCCTTGATCGGTACGTTTATGTTTCACATAAATCACATGGCGTCTGATTGATTGTTATCGTACTTCGCCTGCTATATATCGCCTCCCAGGGCTCATCAGCCAGCAGTTCGTTGTCAGACATGATATGGCCAGCCACACAACTGCAATGCTGCACACCACGTACGTCCACAAAACAAAGGGATGGTGGCACAGGCGGCTGCAGCCTCAATGTGTCTCTCCCAATACTCCTCCGTGCCGCACTGCACCATCATACGGCTGCTCTTCAGCTATATATCCAACCAAACTCCAAGGGGGCCAACCACATTTTGTTTCCATCTACCATGCGCCATGAGCCCAACCCAACACATACACGCGACACGCCGGAAGCGCTTTGCTTTTAAACTGTCCATAGTCACTTCCCCTCCTAATAGCGGTAACATGTCATGCATTTTTCTTTTTGGTTAGCATCCCCTAGGCAACCCAAACCGTCGAGAACCGTCCTCGCATTTTGTATAATAGCTACTTTTAGTAAAATAGCGCAACATTAGTAATGATTGTTATCGCGACCGCGGGACCCAGGAGCCTCGCTCTCCTGCAATGGGGACGACGGGGAGGGGGAAGCCGCGCCGCTTTCCTTGCGTGTGAACTCCCCGGACTGTCGCCCCCTATGGCCATAGGGCACACTCGCAGAACATAACGCGGCGCATAGCTGGGAGCTGGGGGTGTGTTTCGCCGAAGGGTCAATTTTCCAGGTTAGCACGGTTCAGTTCAGTTGGTGCCCCGATCCCCAATTTGTGAGGAACACTAGGCCCATGAGGTTGTACGGCAATGTACGGCAGCAGTGGCAAAACGAGGCGGCAGCGGCAAAGCTGGTCCCCCGGTCCTTCTCCTTTTCCCCCCCTTACCAGGTCATATTCACCTACACGCTCAATTCGCTAACTCAGCATCGCGAAATTTCGGCCAAGCCTGGTACCCTCCTCCCCCCGCCCCCGCTCCCTCCCTTGCCCACAGCATCTTTCCTTAGCTTGCCACACATACATACGTACATACATGCATACACGACATGTAGTCCCCTGTCAGACCAAGCCGTTGATGTGTGCGACCTGTATAATGAGAGTGGCGCGCGAGGTGTCGGGACCCACACTCCGCCCGCCTCATCCTCTCACCCCATCCTAGCAACCCGCTGCGACAGCCCACAGCGCCCCGCTCCCGCTAACCCGTCATCTGCCACCTCCCGCATTACCCAAGGGCACCACCTAAATAGCCCATATTAGCCTTGTGAAGAAAGGTCAGCCTGTAGTCGTAATAGCAAGTACGACGAAATACCACCCGCCGCCACCACCGTAAAGGTCAAGCACCGCCATCGCCCGCAGCTGCGCTCAACAGCAGTAGCGCAACAGCCGCCTTGACATCATCATCATCATCAGCAGTAGCAGTAGCAGCAGCAGCAAGGATAGCAACAAGGTGAGATCACCGGCGCCCTGGAATGCGGGGAGTTGGAAACCGCACGAAACGCCGTTGAGGGAAGGCAGAATGCACTACACTACAGTACTTTGTAAGCGCCGTGCCCTCGGCTCGAGAAGCTCAGCCCTATGTGCCTCAACCGAAGGTATGCGCTATTCAACGTGTACGAATAGGGCATAAAACCCCATCTCGCTGGCAGGAAAATGGTCAGGAGGACGGCCCGACAGACGGACAAACAATCCTCTCCCTCCTGGTTGCGGTTGAAGTCTCGTAGTCCTCACCGCAGGCCAGAAGAGTATCGCAAAGCCCCACACCCAACCCCGTCATCGCTCTGGACCAAAGCCATGTCCCACCCCACCGCGCCCAGCTCTCGAAGGGGGCCGTACACGACCGCAGAGGTCAACCAACCAGGAGGAAGTGCACGTACGGGCGGCAGCTCCCGCCAGCAATCACCAAGCCACCGTAGCAGGCTTGAGATGGATGTGAACAGCACACAAACATTCGACCAGCTGCTATGCTGGCGGTCCAGGGCGGTCCTTTCTGTGCGCGCGAGGAGGAGGCGGAGGAAGAGGGGACGGAGGGGGAGGAGGCGGAGCCGGAGAAGGAAGAGAAGCAAAGGAGCCCCGAAAAAGGAAGACCGTAAATGTCCAGGTGCGGCTTCTTGTGTGGTCTTGTGTGGTGATAAGAGTGTCTGTGTGTGTCTTTGTGCCCGTGGCCTGGGCAAAACGAACTTGACTTAAAAACAAGCAAGGCATGGCGTCCTGCCCTAATGCTTCTTCCAACATAATCATATACCTAGAGGCCGCATTCCTCTTCGCATCATTCCTGATCGCGATGATGATGATGATGATTGTGAAGAAAATGATGATAATGTTGATGATTATGTTAATGATAATGTTAATAGTTATAATTAGTCCGCGAGAAACCAGCCACGGCCTCCCTCCCCATTGCCCTATTACTCCCGCCCGCCGTCACCACAGCCGCCGCCGCGAAAGGAAACGCGCCGCTACAAAAACGCATTTCCGCACCCATTATGTTCAATGGCTCTCGCCATGCTTAGCTTTCTTTCCGTTTTGGGTTGCTTCTATGGAGGGGCTTTTATAAAACGCAAAACACACGTGCACGCGCACGTGCACACACACGCACACGCACGTGCACACATTCAGCGTGTCGGAGTTTGATATGACACGTTTTCGTTTCCCCCCTGCCGCGCTACGTCGCTATAAAACCGTGCTCTTTGCGAAGATCGCATAGGTTAACACACACTTACAAACACACACACACACACAGACGGACACGCAAGCACGCGGCCAAGCACGTGCGTGCGTGTTACAACACGGATACACATATACATACCAACATACATACGTGCATATGGAGGAAATATGATGGTTTCTAAAGCTTTTGTTCTTTGGCAGCAGAAGAACCAGAACACACACTCACACATTGGATGAGATGAAATCGTTCCCTCCTGCCACCTTACATACAACATACATACAAGTTATGCATCCCCAAGAGACAGACAGACAGACAGATAGGTATGTAGGCAGGCAGGTATGTAGCCAGGTATGTAGCCAGGTATGTAGGCAGGCAGGTAGACGGAAGGGCCGGCGGACACGCATTCAGCAAGAGACGAATGGAATCCAACATGGAATCCAAGAAACATCCTCAGGCAACAAGCTTGCTGTCATCCGGGCAGACAGACAGACAAACGGACATACAGCAGAAGGTACAACACCATGATGACGTACAACACCATGATGACAGCAGGCGTGCATGCAATGCCGCACACGGCAGACGTGCGGCAGACACAGCTCAACTTTAGGCAGATAAGCAGACCTGATGATGATGATGATGACCAGACGCAGAAGAAAGGCCATTCGGGGTTCCTATAGACACTCCGGGGCGTACACACCTCCTTCCCCCTCATCCGCCCCCCCCCACACACACACACATAGTGGTGCTCCCCCGTTTCGGTGTCCCGTCCGTTCGCCGTCAGAAGGCCCCTACGCGACCCCTCCCCCTTTAGAAAGCACCTACACACACCCTTCCCCATTTCGATCCAAACCTCCACGTCTCCACCAACACATCAACCAACACGCGTGAATAGCATTCAGAGGCGGTTGCCCGTCGCCCGTCGCGCCGGCATCGGAGGGTGGCGCTGCCCCTACCCCAATCCCACCCTGGCCCACCCTGATGCACCGCACCCCTCCTTCCCCCGCCCAGCCGACCGCCGGTGCCTGCCTTTCTACACGTGCAGCGCGCAGTCCTTGAGAGGGACGCAGTGCCTACCCACTCGTACGCCACGCTCGCGAATTACGATGTGTGAAACACGCATATACACACACACACAGATACGTGGAAGATGCGGCCCCGCTAGGCAGACCAACGTCCGGTGGTTGGCGTAGCGGAGGATTCCATAGGCCCTGCCGCTCTCTGTCCCTCCTCTTTCTCTCTCTCTCACCTTCCCTTCCCCTCTCTTCAAGTATTCCCTCGTCCAGTCGCCCGCCTCACCCCCCCCACACACACACAACCGCCCTCATCCCGTTTTCGAAGCAACAACACCTTATCCGATTCGTTTCGTTGCAAAACCTTTCGATCCTTTTTGGCTGGCTAGGCTGGCTGGCTGGTGGTGGTGCGACTGCTACAGCTGTTGCTGATGCGCAACCCCGCCGCGGCCAACCCACGGGCTTTTTCCGCCCCCCCTCTCTCTGTTCCCCCAAGCCTCTGTCCTCACCGCCCCGCCAGACCGCTTTTTTCCATCACAAAACGAAGCAGCAGACGGCGGCCGCCCCATCGCCAGCACTGCACCCAAGACCATCCTCTCTGCAGAACTACGTAACACCATCACCACCACCAAGACCATCAGCACCATCACCACCACCAAGACCATCACCACCGATGCCGTCGCAAGCTTCTTCTTGAGCAGTGATCCGCGCGCACCCCGTAACACGTCCCGGTACCTCTCCGGCACGGCGGCGGCGGCGGCGGCTTTCGGGGACTGCGGGGACCACCACACAACCGCCCTTCACGCGGCGCCATTCACACCGGGGCCCTGCACGCTCTCTTCCCACATACATACGTACACACGTAATGTACATACATACATACACACACCTGGCCCTGGTTCGTCATCTGCTGCCATCGCCTGGTAATTAACATCAAGCACATCATCATCATCATCATCACCATCATCATCACCCCCGGCCGCCTCTGCAACACCGTCATCGTACGGAGTGCGCTTCCGCCCGCACCCAGGACACCTAGGAGACGTGGACTTTATATGAGCGGGTAAAGAGAGCACACACACACACACACACACACACACACAAACACACACACACACGCGCAAACATTCTGCCTGCGAAAAGCAGGAAGCCAGGACTTCGAGTGTCGCTGGCCTGCCGCACACAGCTCTCCTCCTTTAACCGTCAAAACAATACCCCCCTCCCCTCCCCACAACCCCCTCCCCTCCCCACAGCACCCCCTCCCCTCGGTTCCATTGCGCACACACCTCCCCAGTCTGAGCACAGCGACCTCTTGACGCAGAGGCGGCCCGGGCATCAGGGGACGCTGTCCGTCGCACCCGTCCTTTCAGTTCGCCACTACCTGACTCACTCAACCAGGGTTGGACCGGACCGCCCCCACCCCCTACAACAGGAGTTCCGGCTCCCGGGACCGCGCCCCGTTCCGCCCCTCCCCCCTCTTTCCCCCCCCCCCCACACACAAGACACAGACACAGACGCAGACGCACTCAAGGTTTCCCCAGCAATCGCGCTACTGCCTCAATCTTATCCAGCTGTGCCTGGATGGACTGCACCACCTGGGCCGCAGTCGGGCGGTTTCGGGGCAACGGATTCCAACAGCTCTTGGCCAGGGATCTGCAGGGAAGGAGGCGAAAGGCATGGGTGAAGGTGCGAGCGGGGGGAGAGGAAAGAAGGAAGAAGACAGGTTAGATCATAAATGGAAACACATACATACATACATACGTACATACAAGTAAATACACAGAGAAAGAGAGAGGGAGAGACACGGATGCGCAGACTGCTGCTGTCTCACTTGTACACGTCCGGTGTGTTGGGCGGGAACGTGGGTCTCAAGCCCTTGTTGACCACCTCATGGGGCAGCTGCTTCAAGTTGCGGTCGTGGTAGGGCTGCTTGCCGGAGATAAGCTCCCACATCAGGATGCCTGAGGGAGGGAGGGGAGGCAGCGGAGGGGTGAAAGGGCATTGTGCGGGAATGGAGGATTCGTTATCAACTCAAGTCGTCAGCTCAGTATACGTGTAAAGTAAAATCTAAAGAGTGTATGAAGCCAATGGAAAAGGGCAAAATGTCGTTCACGTTGCGTTCTAAGCATCGGCTTCCGAAGCAGGTGGGCGGATGGATGACTGGGTGGATGTGCGGGGGGATGTGGCAACTGACAGATAACGGTGTTACCCTAATGAGACCCTGGACTGTGCGGACATGGCAGGCGGTAGCAGGCGGTAGCGAAGGGTAACAGGCAATAGCAGGCGGTAACAGGCGGTAGCAGGCAGGCCGAGTACGCGAATCCTTGGCGTGTGCAAAGGCAGGCATGAGACGGGGGCGACAGGATCCTGCGCATTTGCTTGCGAGCGGGGTAGGGAAGGGGGGCAGCGGGAAAAGAAGGTAGGCCCGGGGAGAGAGAGCCCAGGAAAATAAAATAAAATCATTTCCGGGCAGCCGGTGGCCAAGGTGAGCCTGTACGCACATTCCATAACGAACCCCAAACCGAAAATCCTAGAAAACCCACCTCCACCACCTCCACCTCTATCCCCCCACCTCCATTTTCACCCCCCCACCACCACCACCTCGGCACACACCCCTCGCCTAATTCATCCACATGTCGGACCCACCGAATGCATACACGTCCGCGCTGCTGTCCACGGGCTCCCCTGCATCATGACGGTGGTAGTTGTGGTAGTTGTGGTGGTTATAATAGTAGGTAAGGCGGTTTGATTGCAGGGGTCGTTAGGGAAGGAATTAACGACATGCTCATGCCGACATGAGCACGTACACAACCTTATGACAACCTATAATGGTTCACTAGCCAAAGCCCCTACTACTGCTACTACTACAATAACAACTACTATATGTGAGAATGCGAAGAGGGTGGAGGGAGGACGCACGACGAAGACGGGAACCTGCGAGGAGCTCGACGTCGAAACAAGGAGGGAAAAGAAAAAGAATACTGTCGCGGGGAGGTGCTTGCTCAGGGTTTTACGGAGCCCAAGCACTCCGGCAGTGGGGTGGGGGTGGGGAAAGACGAACCACGAACGAGTGAAGGTGCTGCCGGGGCAAGAGTACCAGACGTAGAACTGGGGACGGGCAGCGCTGGGGTGATGTGCGGGGAGAGACCCAAACACCCACACCGCCACCCAATGCCCCCAAACACGCGCCCATGCGGCATGTATGTGTACAGAAAGTATGTCTGCGGTTTGGGGGGAAAGGGGATACCCAAAGCAAAGTATTGGATTTCGACCCCCCAGCACGTTGGCAAGGTTTTCCTTTCTAAACCCACGCTCAAAACCCACGTTCTCAAAACCCCACTTTCCCCCACCTTTCCCCGCATCGCCACAATACCCACAATACCCGCTTACCCTCCACAAACGACTCCGGTGCCATGTGTGTGACGGTGCCACACGCCTCATCCGTCACCACACTGCGGCGCCCGTCTGGGGAGGTGTCCCGGAGCAGCGCCGCGTACCTGCGGGGTCCAGGGGCAATAAGGACTGGTGGTCGCCGCAGTGCAATCTAAGCAGTGCAATACATACGCATCCTCATCCTCGCACCATCCACAGCAAAGGCTGGGCAAACAAAACCAACAGGGCAGTTCGAGCAGACACAGTTTAAGGCGACAGCAACACCAGCAGCACCAGCAGCAACAGCTGCTTGCTGTGGGGCTCTATCCTGCAGCCCCCAGCTTCCAACAGCCATCTCTGCTCCCAAATAACCCTCCCTCCCTGTATTATTGTGTGCGCTGCTCCGAAACCCCGATCACTCCCTGCCCCTGGGCCCCAGCCGAAACCCCCGCCCCGCCGCCGCCACCGCTGCCACCGCGAACATCGTAACCCCCCCCGGGCTCCCCCTCCCCCCCCGGCCAGCTATCCACTGCCACCGCTGCCACTGTCCGCCGCACCCGAAGTCCGCCAGCTTGGCCGTAAACCCCCGGACATCGCGGGGACTTGATCGCAACAGGATGTTGGCTGGCTTG